TACGTATTTTTTAAATAAGCAATTTTTTGTATTAATTTTAATTTTTCTTTACTATTTTATTTGTTGTTAACGAATGTTTAAAAAATTCAGATTGATAAAAATTTTATTCTCGCAAATAAATATGTGTGTATATGCTACCACCACAAAAAAAACATTCTTGACTTCTTTCACATTGTTTCTATTTCAATTAAATTTTAGTGACTTTTTTGTATTAATACTTTCAGAACACAAAAAAATACTGAATTACTGATATACATTCCTTTGAAACGAAGTCCATAATAAGTTGATTTCAGTAATAACATGAACAATACCTAGTGCATAGCTTCATTTAAAATACTTCTAATATACTAGTATGCAACTTCTTTTGAGAGATGAGAGAATTGGCGAGTTTCTAGTCTTCAAGAATTCTAGCAGGATTCGAAGGTATTAAAATACGCCAATGCTAATCTCATTGTGTAACCCCTATGCTTTCTCGAAGTTCTTCCTCCCTCTCTGCGACTGAACATCATTAACAACAGGTGTGTTCGTAGGGGGGAACTGTCTTGAGTAGTACAATGGGTTATCTTTTGGGCCAGAGAGGCCATCCCCGTATGTAAGCACTGATCGTATAAGACATTTATAGAGTAACACTTATTTTTCTTTTTATTAGGCTTGACTGTTATTATTTAAGCTCTAACGTTTCCTCATATTTTTTAAATATTTTTTTTCTAATATGTAACTGATACGTTATATGTTCTTTCTTTTCTCACCTTTTTTTAATCTTTATTTTTAATGTTTTTTTTCTTTCTTTTTACTAATAACCACTGTGTTGCCTGCAATGCTGTTGTCTAAATAGAAAGTTCACTGGGCGTTGTAGGAAGATGGTGTCCCACCTCTTTGCAGGTAGGGAGGCCCAGTGACACTTTCAAAGTACCAGGCAGTACAAAACTCTCTTCTGTTATTATTTAAGCTCTAACGTTCCCTCATATTTTATAAATATTTTTTTCTTTCTAATATGCAACTGATACGTTATTTGTACTTTTCATTCTCACCGTTTTTTGTTTTTTTTCTTTCTTTTTACTAATAACCACTGTGTTGCCTGCAATGCTGTTGTATAAATAGAAAGTTCACTGGACGTTGTAGGAAGATGGAGTCCCACCTCTTTGCAGGTAGGGAGGCGCAGTGACATTTTCAAAGTACCAGTCAGTACAAAACTCTCTTCTGTTATTATTTAAGCTCTAACGTTCCCTCATATTTTTTAAATATTTTTTTTCTTTCTAATATGTAACTGATACGTTATTTGTTCTTTCCTTTCTCACCGTTTTTTAATGTTTTTTTTTCTTTCTTTTTAATAATAACCAATGTGTTGCCTGCAATGCTGTTGTCTAAATAGAAAGTTCACTGGGCGTTGTAGGAAGATGGTGTCCCACCTCTTTGCAGGTAGGGAGGCCCAGTGACACTTTCAAAGTACCAGGCAGTTCAAAACTCTCTTCTGTTATTTTTTAAGCTCTAACATTCCCTCATATTTTTAAAATATTTTTTTTCTTTCTAATATGTAACTATATTTTTTTTTCTAATATGTAACTGATTCTTTATTTGTTCCTCCTTTTCCTCACTTTTTATTAATTTTTATTTTTAATGTTTTTTTTTTTTTCTTTTTACTAATAACCACTTTGTTGCCTGCAATGCTGTTGTCGAAAAAGAAAGTTCACTGGGCGTTGAAGGAAGATGGTGTCCCACCTTGTTTTAGGTAGGGAGGCCCAGTGACACTTTCAAACTTTCAAAGTACCAGGCAGTACAAAACTCTCTTCTGTTATTATTTAAGCTCTATTTTTTAAATATTTTTTTTCTAATATATAACTGATACTTTATTTGTTCCTCCTGTTCCTCACCTTTTATTAATTTTTATTTTTAATGTTTTTTTTTCTTTTTTTTACTAATAACCACTTTGTTGCCTGCAATGCTGTTGTCTAAATAGAAAGTTCACTGGGAGTTGCAGGAAGATGGTGTCCCACCTCGTTGGAGGTAGGGATGCCCAGTGACAATTTCAAAGTACCAGGCAGTACGAAACTCTCTTCTGTTATTACTTAAGCTCGAACGTTTCCTCATATTTTTTAAACATTTTTTTTTCTAATATGTAACTGATACTTTATTTGTTCCTCCTTTTCCTCACCTTTTATTACTTTTTATTTTTAATTTTTTTTTCTTTCTTTTTACTAATAACCACTTTGTTGCCTGCAATGCTGTTGTCTAAATAGAAAGTTCACTGGGCGTTGTAGGAAGATGGTGTCCCACCTCGTTTTAGGTAGGGGGGCCCAGTGACACTTTCAAAGTACCAGGCAGTATAAAACTCTCTTCTGTTATTATTTAAGCTCTAACGTTTCCTCTTATTTTTTAAATATTTTTTTTCTAATATGTAACTGATACTTTATTTGTTCCTCCTTTTCCTCACCTTTTATTAATTTTTATTTTTAATGTTTTATTTTCTTTTTTTTACTAATAACCACTTTGTTGCCTGCAATGCTGTTGTCTAAATAGAAAGTTCACTGGGCGTTGTAGGAAGATGGTGTCCCACCTCTTTGCAGGGTTATTTGTTCTTTCACACTTTCAAAGTACCAGGCAGTACAAAACTCTCTTCTGTTATTATTTAAGCTCTAACGTTTCCTCATAATTTTTAAATATTTTGTTTTTAAATGTGTCAGTGATACTTTATTTGTTCTTTCCTTTCTCACCTTTTATTAATTTTTATTTTTAATGTTTTTTTTCTTTCTTTTTACTAATAACCACTTTGTTGCCTGCAATGCTGTTGTCTAAATAGAAAGTTCACTGGGCGTTGTAGGAAGATGGTGTCCCACCTCGCTTTAGGTAGGGAGGCCCAGTGACAATTTCAAAGTACCAGGCAGTACAAAACTCTCTTCTGTTATTATTTAAGCTCTAACGTTTCCTCTTATTTTTTAAATATTTATTTCTCTAATATGTAACTGATAGTTTATTTGTTCCTCCTTTTCCTCACCTTTTATAAATTTTTATTTTTGATGTTTTTTTCTTTCTTTTTACTAATAACCACTGTGTTGCCTGCAATGCTGTTGTCTAAATAGAAAGTTCACTGGGCGTTGTAGGAAGATGGTGTCCCACCTCTTTGCAGGTAGGGAGGCCCAGTGACACTTTCAAAGTACCAGGCAGTTCAAAACTCTCTTCTGTTATTATTTAAGCTCTAACGTTCCCTCATATTTTTTAAATATTTTTTTTTCTAATATGTAACTGATACGTTATTTGTTCTTTCCTTTCTCACCTTTTATTAATTTTTATTTTTAATGTTTTTTTTTTTTTCTTTTTACTAATAACCACTGTGTTGCCTGCAATGCTGTTGTCTAAATAGAAAGTTCACTGGGCGTTGTAGGAAGATGGTGTCCCACCTCTTTGCAGGTAGGGAGGCCCAGTGACACTTTCAAAGTACCAGGCAGTTCAAAACTCTCTTCTGTTATTATTTAAGCTCTAACGTTCCCTCATATTTTTTAAATATTTTTTTTTCTAATATGTAACTGATACGTTATTTGTTCTTTCCTTTCTCACCTTTTTTTAATCTTTATTTTTAATGTTTTTTTTCCTTCCTTTTTACTAATAACCACCTTGTTGCCTGCAATGCTGTTGTCTGGGGAAGACACTAGAATGTGCAATGGGCGTTGTAGGATGATGATGTCCCACCTCGTTGGAGGTAGGGAGGCCCAGTAACACTTTCAAAGTATCAGGCAGTACCAAAACTTATTCTGTTATTATTTAAGCTCTAACGTTTCCTCTTATTTTTTAAATATCTTTTTTTCTAATATGTAACTGATACTTTATTTGTTCCTCCTTTTCCTCACCTTTTATTAATTTTTATTTTTAATGTTTTTTTTCTTCTTTTTTTTACTAATAACCACTTTGTTGCTTGCAATGCTGTTGTCTAAATAGAAAGTTCACTGGGCGTTGCAGGAAGATGGTGTCCCGCCTCGTTGGAGGTAGGAAGGCCCAGTGACACTTTCAAAGTACCAGGCAGTACAAAACTCTCTTCTGTTATTATTTAAGCTCTAACGTTTCCTCATATTTTTTAAATATTTTTTTTTTAAATGTGTCAGTGATACTTTATTTGTTCCTCCCTTTCCTCACCTTTTATTAATTATTATTTTTAATGCTTTTTTGTCTTTCTTTTAACTAATAACCACTTTGGTGCCTGCAATGCTGTTGTCTAAATGGAAAGTTCTCTGGTCGTTGTTTTTCATAATTTTAATTTTCGTCATAATTTTTTTTCTTTAGTGTCATCTGCTGGATTCGATGCATTTCGCGAAAAATGGGGTGTTTGCTACGTAATCATTCACGCGGACTTCATGTCGTACCCACGTTATGACTTGCGCATGCGCGCAGACTTAAAACCGAAATCCGAGTGCTCCAATTCGGATAGAGAATATCAGATCCTTGTGAAATGTTTTTCTTTTTAATTTAATTTAATTTTATTCTTGTTTATTTTATTTTACTTCTAACACTTTTTTGACGTAGGGGGTAAGGGTACTTTTGTTCTGAGTTCAGGGTCAAGTTGAATTCTCTCGGTGATGTGGGAAAGTACTGATTGTTTTGATTTACGTCCGTTTCTTTTTGAGTTTTTTTTAACGCTAAAACTCTTTATAAAAAGTTTTTGTTTTTCAATAATATCATTGATTGAATATGAATTTTTTGAGTGCTTGAAAATTTTTGTAAAGTGCTTGAAAAGTTTTTAAAAAGTGCTTATTTTTGATTCCAAGATTTGGCTACGCACCCTGGATACTATTTATTAAAATTTAAGCTGATTTTAACTAATTTGTTGTGTTTTTTTTAACAAGCAATAAACATTTATTGTTTAGATTAACGATTTGTATTACAGTTGTTATCATCAACAAAAACAACAATTAATTTTTTTTTCGTTATTTGTATTTTTCACTCCATGGAGAATTGCCCAAATATGAAATAAAATGAGCTCACCTTGTGAAGCGCTAGGCTTATGATTTAACAGTTATCATATCAGGGGTCTGTTTAGAAGAAATTTGGGTTCGTTAACGGACCCTTCACAAAATATATTTTTATAAAAATGGACCCTTCACAAATTTGTTTATCTTCATTATTGTTTTGTTCATCAATAAACCCTTCCCGGGAAGGGGGGGGGGAGAAAGACAGATGTAAACTACCTAAAATTTTCAATTATTCGTCCCAAATTAATATTCTGCTTTCTGCAGTATAGGCTAAATACCAAATGTTAGTATGTTGCATAGCTAATTTAGTAGCTGCAATTGCTGTTTATTTTTAAAAATTTTTTTTAATTATAATTTTACATTGTTGAGAATAGTATTACAGTGTTGAACATGTTTGTTTTTGCAATTTAAAAACTCCTTTAAAAAGTTTTTTTGCAATAACTGACCCTATTTGCATAAATTCACAAAAGCGGACCCTGGTTGAAAGAATGTGACTTAAGGTTTATTTTATATTCTCAAATTACAAGTCATTTTTTCACAATTTAACAAAAACGGACCTTTCACAAAATGTCTGGACAGACCCCTGCATATGAAAAGTTGCTTGACTGTAATGCATTTAAAGCTAACGAAGACTAATTCTAGGTGCGCAAATATCAAAAAAATATTTATTCTATTTAGCAAATTCTCAGTTGTCAGAATTTTGGTAGATTCGATTTGAAAAATCAGGGGTCTGTTTAGAAGAAATTTGGGTCCGTTAACGGACCCTTCACAAAATATCTTTTCATAAATACGGACCCTTCACAAAATGATTTTTCTTTTAATCGGACCCTTCACAAATTTGTTTATCTTCATTATTATTTTGTTAATCGAATAAACCCTTTCCAGGGCAGAAAACAAGAAAGATGGATGTAAACGAATTAAGTTTTGTCTTCGGCAGACGATTCTTCCATTATTCGTCCGAAATTAATATTCTGCGTTCAGCAGTATAGGCTAAATACCAAATATTTGTATGTTGCATCTCTAATTTAGAAGCAGCAATTGTTGTTTATTTTTTAAAATTTAATTTTTTTAATTATAATTTTACAGTGTTGAGCATCATCTTGTATGTCTTTACAATTTAAAAACTCCTTGAAAAAGTTGTTTTTTTGCAATAACGGACCCAATTTGCACAAATTCATAAAATCGGACCCTGGTTAAACGAATGTGAGTAATTTTTTCACAATTTCACGAAAAATGGACCTTTCACAAAATGTCTGGACAGACCCCTGAAAATAATATTTTATGAAAATTCCGTTGACATATAACAAAAAAAGTAATAATTATAAATTTTTTATCTTATTACTCTGCTGTTATTCTTAAAATAGATGTGTTCATCCATGTAATATTAATACCACTCCTTATAATATATTAAACGTCTCTCATGTTTCTCCTAAATGATAAATTTAAGAACTTCATAAATCTTTTACAACAGTTATTTACTTATCAGCTGTTAAACTGTTGTAATTTCATTCTCATCCCTTACAAACAAAATATTACTCGACAAGATTTGTTCTCAGGGGTTGAGAGTTAAAACTTTTAAGATTTCTCATGAGAAATGTTTACGAGATACATCATCGGCCCTAATTTCCTCTGCTTTCCAAGATTGTCAGAAGAAATGACAAATGATTGTCTTAATCCCTATGTTACAATCGAAATTTCAACTGGCGATAGGAGATTCAGAAATTGTTTGGGATTTATTGTTCTAAGGTAGAGTCATTAGGATATCATATTCAAAAGTTCTAAATTTAAACATGGAAATGTTATATTAGTTTGCTTGGAATCCGTGAATTAATAAATCTCGCTTTACTTTCGAACTGCTAAGTCATTGTTCAGAAAATTTTATGACAAAGAAACTTAATTACAAAGTTTGAACTTTGTTAGATTTTATTTCAGATTTGAATTATTTTTATGTAATAATTTGCAGAATTGGACAAAGCTGTTTTGAAAATATACTGGAAATTTTTTATTATTATTTTTACTTTAATAACGATAGTAAAATCTTCCTATTGAAAGAAAAGTTTTGAAAAATAACATTAGCATGTTCAAGCTACATTTTTGTCTTTCTCACACATTTAGCTACCTTTCGTAACTTCTCTTTGAAATAATTCAAATTTTTTCTGTTAATAAATTGATTTTTGATAGTTTTTTCTGACATAACATTTGAGACTACGATACTTTTAATTCTATAACACTCTTGCTTTTAAACAAAACTAAAATTAAATTATTTCTAATATTTTTTTTGAAATAAGTAAATACATTTTAACTTAATTTCCGTATCTTTTTGTAATAAAGATCAAATAAGTGATGTAAATCTCTAGAGAGAATTTGTCTAATCCAATTCTTTTTAAATTTCCATTTTTTGTTATGAAAATTCTTTGACTGTCTTATGCCAAAGAGATTATTTAGAAATAATGCAAAAATTTATTTCCTAATAATGTTATAAAATTTTTTCATCTCGTATTTTATGTGCATGTATCAATTGGAAGTATTTTTACTCAAAGTTTATACTAAAAGTAAATATAACTTGCTTACTGTTAAAGGTTTAGCAAGTTTAGCCATTCATTTGGAATAATAACCGATATCAGATCTTAATGTAAATGTGAGTAAATACCGCTGAATTAGGAATAACAAATAGTAAACAATGCAGGTAAATTATGCATTTATGATTTTTATAGAATTTATCGGGATAACATCCAACGAAATTGGTTCTTCAGATTTAAAACTTCGATCAACTTTCCTGTTGCATTTTCACTACAAGTGAACAACTTGGTAGTTCAGAACCCATTATCCGGAAATCAGAAAACCGGAAAACCATAAAACCGGAACGAAATTCGATAAATTTTCCCGCCATTTTTAATTTTTTTTCCTCATAGGATTTTAACATTTTTCTTTCTTTTTTGAAAGATGTTTACTTTACCATTATTTTGAAAATAATCATTAGTGTATTACTTCATCGTTTTTTCTTCTTTTTAAGATTATTTCCAATTATTTTTTTTTCAGTTGGGTTTAACAATAAAAAAAAACTGCTTTTTGTAGCGATTCTGAAAACCGGAAAAATCAGTTATCCGGAATAATGATGGCCCCGATCGTTCCGGATAATCTGTTCCCTACTATAATATATTTTCTCGTTGTCTATTTGTGATAATGACTTTAGGTTTACATAGTATAGTAAGATACTCAGCTAGCTTTGACTATTAAATTATAATTGACTATTGAACTAAGTAAAAAATGAAAAATAGTATAATAGTTTATACTTTTAGAATATGATCAGGCCCTACTTGTTCCCAAGCTTTATACAAGCCTGCTTTTAGATTTTTCCTTATTACTTTTATTCCGCTGTATAATACATTTGTTTACCTATTAAAACCTTTTTAAGTGATAAATGAGTTTAGCTAATGGTATAAATTACAAACCTTTTTATTTAAATTGTGTGAATATAATTGTTTTTAAAAAGGATTTTCCAATTTCTCGCCACTTACCGTCGTGGCTAATTAGCGACCATATTAGATAGTCTCTAGTTGAGATAATAAGCAGTGATTTTAGTTTTAACTTCTTTCTGGGCTTTTCGTCAGTCTTGAAAAAATTAAGCGTTTTCACACATGTTTCTCGCGGCGTATGGAAATTTTAAAATTTTTTATTTTGATTTCAAAATTTCAGTTCGGGAGGTGCAATTGTATCAGTTAGTAGTGCAATAAATTTATTTATTTGCCCCTCCCCCACCCCTGGCGGAAT